ATGAATGAATAAACCAAGATGCTATGTACAAGACCCTTCTGAATCGGTCTAATTGTATAGTTTCAATCTCTGCTGGTGTCTTTGACTAATATATATATATATATATATATATATATATATATATATATATATATATATATATATATATATATATATATATATATATCGTTATTACTATTTATTTTTTTAATTTTTTAATTTTATTTATTTATTATTTGTTTCAACTTTTGCTGGATCTTAGCACTGCTAACACAACGCTCAATTTCAAGTTACCAGTATAAGCAAATGGAGTATTTCAGGACTTTCACATTTAGAGTAATTACCTTTAAAACAAAGCATTAATTATTCTAGTAAGAAAAAAATTGGTAAAAATGATCTTACTTTGTGGCACCTTGGCCTCCAATTGCACCACCCTGTTCACTATTGCCAGCATCACTTGCATTACTGGCAGCACTGCTACTACAAGAGGCAGTATTGTTGTTGTTTCTATTTCCACTTAAAATATACACCTCTGAAGAGGATCTTGACCTGTAACATATGCAGTTATATGTCTTTAAAAAAACTGAATCAATTTCTTGCATGGTAAAAATATACTACTACAGTTATGAATACTAGATCTTTTAAAAGGGGTAAATTGTGAATTTTACAGATACTTTATTTCTTAAGTCATATTTTCTTTTAATTAGGACATTCCTATTCAATTGTAGCAACAAGAGTAAAAAGCAGGCTACTATATACTTGGCTATTGTATGCAGTAAAAGCACCAAAAATGCTGCATAGAAATATAAATTTTGTGATTATCAAATTTTGCATCTGAAAGTTTGATCATTTTTGCCCATTGAAAAGATTGAATCATTACCATACTTTAAAAATAAAACAAAAATAAACAAACAAAAAACATTAAATATAAAACTGTTTCTTCTATGAGTTACTCTGACATGTAACATAATGTTCATTGTAAAATGTAATACATTACCTCTGAATGCTGCCACATATCTTTCTTTCATGGTCATAAAAAATTTGACTTCTGCTCTTAGGGGGGAAAATGGATGATTGTTTGGAATCAACGTCAACCCTGCTTTTAAAAGAGCAAGCACTGGAGTCTTTGGAGTGAATGTGTTGAACTTGGCTAGCACTCCAGGATTGGGCTGAAACAATTTAATTTACATAACCTGAATAAGATTTAAACATTCAAATTATATTAAATGTCTTAGACATACAATGCAGCATACCAGCAAACCACTACCACCCCTGATAGATTACATTTCTTCAATTCCCAAAATAACATTTCAACAAACCTTTTGTCAATTTTTCCATATGGTGGGCCTTCCTTTGATTTCTGTTGGTGACCACCTTGTGCTGTACTGAGGAGGACTTTCCTGTGAAGATATCCTGGCATAGTTCCTCAGATCTAATGTTGCCCAGGACAATTTCACACAAGCAATTTATAAGGCAGATGATGGTGTTGATCAGAAAGGTGAAGAAGAATATGTTAGTTGTCAACTCCACAGCAATTTGGCTGCTGATGGTTAGGAGGGCTGTTTCCACTAACATATTTCCAAGTAAAGAATTGCCAACTGCAGAAAACAGCATCACAAGAGTGAGGGGCCTGGAAAGCACTTTGTTGGAATCCTGTCCACTTCCAAAAAATGGATAAATCCATCGATGATACTGACGGAAGAAACATAATATGGAGCTCCAGATCAAACTGAAATGTACATGCAAATACACATAAATGCCCATCATAAATGTGTAAAATAAAATGCACAAAGAATCACGTAAAATAAATTTGCATAAAAATGTTTTCTTTTCAGAAAATTAAATTTAAATTAAATAAAGTGGTTTCTCTTCACTTATTAATACTTCACAATATTTAGACATTCTTGTGTGTAAAAGACGCCACTTGAATTTAGCAAATTTGTTTTTATTAAGATGACATTTTTTACAATTTTTCAGAAGGTATAACATATTTGTGTCATTCCTCAACCTTACATTTGAATCACATCAGTGACACACATTTTGTGGTCATTTAAAATCATTCAACCCATGGACAGCCCAATCCCCAAGAGCACTGAAATTCCAAAGTGCCCATGCACTTTAATGATGAAATATATACTAAACACCAAAGATTCACATTCCTCACTCTAATGGTATAGAACAAGATAGCAGAATAGCAATTTGAAGAAAATTAAGAATTATCCATCAGGGACAGCCTAAATCCTAGGCACTCTAAAAATCAAAAGTGCTCATGCACATACTTGATGATAGGTTTATCAATAGGGATATGGGACTAGTCTAATTTTAATAACACCCTGCGTAAGGTTTTGCCTGTGGTGACCAAGTTTCAGAAATGTTCAGAGGTCAGTAGTCTTTGTTTAATAAAAAAATGACATGTAATGGTAAATTTCTAAAATTTGCACCTTAATATCTAAAAATTTAAGGTTACCTCTTGTAATAAACAGCCAATACTTATGTTTTTACTTCATCTTCTGTATTCTTTCATATATCATGGGGGGGGGGGGGGGTTGTCATAGAATCGACTAAGATACTCACTTTTTGGTGGAATGACCCATCTTTTTAAATAAAATTCTTGTTTCAGTGTTAAATTTAATACCTTTTGCCCTCATCTTTTCTCCTCGTATCATTCAATAATATGTTCAGATCAACAATGGCAGTTACAGCACTCAAAAAAGTGACTATTAAGTTACTTACCAAAATGTTCTGCCAGCATCTACCAAGGCCAGGGTATGTGTTGCAGGGCCTTCCTTACTAGTGCGCTGAGGTTTCAGCCATTTATTGCAGGAAAACAGCCACTCTCGATCAGCTTGAGGGTCTGACACAATGACAGAGTCTAAATGCCTAAAATTATGACAAATAATTATTTGAAATTTGATATAACACCAAATCGTAGTTTTAACTTAAAAAGTGTCAAACATATCTGAGAGAAAGTATGTAGTATTTATATCATTGTTTCACTGATAACTTTTATTCCACCAGCTTTTCACATTTCACCATTTCACCTTACTCTACTAAAGCCATGATCTTCCATGTTTTGTTATATACTTGATGACACATAACAAATATAATCCCCCAAACCATTAAAAAAATGGTATGTATTGATTATAAGTTGATTATATCTGTGCTGTAATATAGTATATACCATAAAATACTAGCAAGCAATCTAACACCAATTCCTTTTATCATGCAAGTGAACATACCATTTCCCTTTGACTCCATGTCCTTCTTGAATTATCAGCACATGGGACAGTTCTCCAAGGGGAACTGAAGTTAAAAATTACACAAAACTTCTGTTCAGGACAGCCTTATATCAATATTTTTTGTTTAAAAAAATATGTTAATATTAGTCAATTTCAGAAACATTCATTTGCAGTATAATGTACGTATCGCATTTTCACTCATACATGAGGCACTTGGATAAAGTCATAAAATTATTACTCACCAGTGCTGTATACTAAAAACATGGTTTCTTTCCCCCTAGAGAAGATATTCTGCTTGGTCCCATGGTCTTTAAGTAAATATTCTTGTGACTTTAAGTGCTTGGAGCACAGTTCCATTTTGATTTTTGCATTGGTTCCTGCATCTAGTGTTTATAAATAAATATCAAGTTAATTACATGACTAAAAAACAAGAAGTAACTAGGTCTTTCTCATTCATTCAAAATATTGGCAGATAAAATTTAAAAATTATTGCACATATAATCAAACAAAAATATTGTCTCATTTTCATACATAAATAATGTCTAATTCTTATAAATCATGACAAAAATTGCTCAACATACTGCCCTTAAAGAAATGCATGATGAATTAACTTTACAAACTTGTTGATGAGATGTAGGGGGAAAACAAATCCATAAAATATTGAATTTTACTTCATTCCATAAAGGACAGAATGTTATGGTTATTTAAGACATGGAGAAAATTTGGAGATACTAGGGTCGGTTGGACCTACACTACAAGAAACACTGCAGCAGGGCCTCCCAATTCTGAATGAAGTATGAATGAAGTATTTTAATTCTGTAAATCTATATTTATTGTTACGCACTGTATTTTCACATAAAACTTGCCAGTCCAGAGCACCTGCATTATCAAAAATCTTGCCAGTCCTCTGGTATTTCAAGCAGTCACCACCTGTCAGATAGGCAGTTTCCGCATGTCTGGCCATTAGCATGGCCTTTACTTATGATAACATAATATATTCTGTAGTTTTTGCAAGGCCAATTTCAATATATATATATATATATATATATATATATATATATATATCTGCCTTGCAAAAACCACAGAACATTTTATCCATTTGGTTAAAAGGCACTTACTTTTTCTAAGTCCAGTCTTAACGGTGATAATGTATGCATAGTGTCCATGAAGATTAGGGACAGCAATAATTTTTGACTGGAAAAAAAATATATATATGTTTTCTGAGTGTAAATAAAAGAACATCTAGATCTGATGGTTTCTTGATACTGAAATAAAAAGTATATTAATCTGTCAATCCTAATGAAGGCATCACATTAATTTTATCAATTAAATCTTCAAACAAAACATATAACAAAAGTAAAAAAGAAAAAGCATGGGATGAGAAAGGGGTAGTTGTAAATACCTTTGTCTTAATACGATGATGAAGTATAGCAAAACACCCAACAAAGAATATAAAGATGATAGCCAGAATGCAATGAATTGTATATCCAACTGACTCAAAGCTAGGTGGAGGAATGTGTATGAAGGTGTGCAGTAGCCTTTTATCAACAGCCATTCCCAGCTTGGGAGGACTGAGAACTAAAAGAAGGTAAAAAATAAAAGTAAATAAACTGAAGAAAATGTTAGTAAGAATAAAAAAAGAAGTTTGTTAGTAAGATTAAATACTAAGAAACATAATTGTAAAAAATTAATGTTGGGTGTAGATGTTTGAACTAAGCACCACTGGACGACACTGGATGACACTAGAGCTAGTGAGTCTTACTTTTATGTGATTCAAGATATACCGGAGGCTTTTTACGTGAAATTTATGACATCACTGATTTAGTTGTCTTACCTCTGGCTTGCAATGGTGGTATTGTGCTGTCATCTATTCTTGGTGGGAAGGTACTTGATGTTCTCACACTTCTTGCAGTTCTCACAGAAGAGTAGGACCGAAGAAGTTTCTTCATAATATCAGCCCCATGCTGACCCAAGAAAGATCCAACCCCAGCACCAGAGGGTAAGGAAGTTCCTGTGTCAAGAGTTAAATGGTATGTCAATACTAATGACAAGAAAAAAAAAACTCCATTGTCAACTTCATTTTCAGAATTGTTAAAATTTTACCTTTAGTTCATTAACAATTTAATAGCAGAAATTATACCAATGAAAAAAGACACTATGATAGTTACTGTTAATACAGGTAGCCTATAGTACTGAAGCCAGTGAGGTGTGGTTTCCTTAGTAGGGGAATAGCAGGTCTCGTGAGCGTATTTCCAGTCTATGTGAAAAAGAAAGTCAGGCGAACAAACAAGAAAGTCAGGAGAACATACCAGTTTTGAAAATTCAAAAGTTACCTTCTTGGACTGTAATCGCCAAAACCACAAATGTCAACAAACAGTTGACAACGGTCCGGCTTATCATCTTCATCGCTTTGCTGTATTAAATTCAAAATCCACTTGTTCCACCGAACATCTTATCCAAATGAACAGTTTCCATTCAAACAATTCTCATGAAGTATCAATAAACGAAGTAAAACTCGATTCAATCGCAGAGTAGTATATCCCGACTGCCGCCGTAACTATCTGATCGAGATGTCTGCTCTTTTATGACGTCACAATATATATGGCGAAATCGAGGCTAGTTGTGTCTGGGTGTGATGATAAATCTTCTTTTTCTACACAAAAGACGAAATCTCAATCATACTTAGTCTAATAATTTAGCTCATTTTAAGCCAGGTACTCTGACTTTCTTTTACATTATGGCTTGTGATATCCACAAAATTAACTAAAAATATGACAATTGCTGATGTACTGCACCCTATCATACACGAGCGCCTTCTAGCGGCTGAATATGAATTCTTCTTATTTTTAAAAATGATAAAATTCCCATAATCCACAGGACATTTAAATTTGAAATTTACCTTTGAATCATATATTTCCAGATCGATCAGACCACCATTCCATCTCCAGCCTAGATAGCCTACTAGGCTTACAGATAATATTGGTCCTGGAGCTTTTAAAACCCGTCAGCGACTTTTTCTTCTTTTTTCGGACCGACATAAAAATAACAATATTACTAATGTACACGTAGGCCTGGATTGCAGAGCTGATGTAGGACGTTTTTTTTTCATATTTAAAAGATATCTAAAGATAAGGTCGAGATGTGTCCGACCTAATCCATGTTTTAAACTTAAAGAACACTCTATACTGTAGGCCCTATCAAATATTTTATACACACAATGCATAATCATTATCTTCAGTAGGCCCTACACTGTGGAAATATATGCCTCGAACTACACATTGATGATGAAAAACGAATAAATTGACTTTTATAAGATAACCTGCATATTTTGACGAGTATTACACATTGAACTTTGCTGGCAACATCCCACCAGATCACATACGAAGTCCAAATTTCACCACAATGCTGTGGAACTAATCAATAGGCCTACCTCAATTTCGTCCAAGTTCAGGGTTTTCTTTCTAGACCGATCCGAAGAATCTTATTAGATCTCAGCCTTTATATAGGCCTAAATAGGCTAAATAGGTATCCACATGTATATGGTATCTAATTTCTCTTTTCTTCTTTGAAATGACCATTATCATCCTTATCGCCATGAGCTAACGAGTGCGCGGTATTCCTCTGGTACATGTAGCTATAAGGGCAAAGAATCTAAAAGCACTTTGGATAAGGGGTTTTGTAGTTAAGGAATAATCCTTCGTCACTTGCTTTCTAATTTCATTGATGCTTAAAGAATGTATTATTAATCTGGAATACAACCGATGCGCTTTTCTTATTTTCTTTCTTTTTTAAAATTTCTTTAATTTTTTTTGTCAGATGTCCATTGTACCGCTACTCTGCAATCAGTATAAAATCTCCATTATGCAAGTCTCGTCACATGCAAACTCTGCATGTGTTTTGAATAAAGAATAGATCTTTTATTAGGCCGTTGGTTTTGTAAGGCTGCGCTTTCGATTACTTTTGATCCATATCGGCCCCTACACTGTGTGAATTTTATTAGAGTGGTGTGACATCTGATATGCGCCATAGTCTACTTAATGGTTCGTTGATTTTAGTGCTTTTTGGAAACCAACGAAATTATTTTTGGGTTGTTTTTCTGTACAGACGTTCTTTACATAAAAGTGCAACTGATCTATGACGCAGACGGGGAAAAACTACTGGTTTTCAATGTGGTCGGTTGCAGCGAGTGTTGGACGTTCTACAATGTATTATCCGTTGATAATTTTAATTAAAACACCCAAATCCATTTTAGAGGTGCAAATGAGGTCACAGGCACGCTCTTAAAAATTTAGTGCACAGATTGCAAACTATATTTGATTATTTTATGGTCCCACATGAAGAGGTTTGTATCAAAGTTTCACTCTCCTGGAACCATGAATAATAACAAATACTTAATCGTCTAGCCCCCAAAAAGGAACAAACGTTACTGTCACAAATGCAGAACGTCCAACTGTGAAACGTTTTACTCACTCTGAAAATCCAATCATCACTGGTTTTGTTCTTTGATTTTTCTCCTACAAGTATAACGTTGTAATCTTCTGTATAGAGCAATTACTTGTTTTTGAGCGACTTTAGTTTGCTTGTCACGGAATATTAGAAGAAAAAAAAAACAGGTTAACGTGAACTGTGCGCTTCAGATTTACGATAATACTACGGCCTACGGGCTTATGATTTTCAAAATTTGTCAAAAGTTACTAGCTTGACATAAAACGTAGCGGCCACGGAGGCCGCCTCCGCTCAGACGCAGCAAGAAAAGGGATTTACGGACAGTGTACGTGCACCGTTAAGAATTTGGGTATTTTCTTTTTAAATAACATGCAATGTTAGGAAGTTAACTTTATCTTAAATTAATGTTATTGCCATCACTCGAATTTTAACGGCCTGTACCTCTTGGGTATAAGCTGATGGCATCAACTGGGCCACTTTCAGAGGGTATCATAATTCCCGGAAGACCACCGAGATCATAATATGGTAAATACATGAACGTGGTCAAATTACAACGTGCATTATATGTTAATTACCTGTATATGAGAACGTAACAAGATAAAACTAACCTCCTTCTACATGGTCACAAATCGCTAGTTAACACCTTGTCAAAATGACAGAATTTTTTAAACTGTCGCAAATTTCTTAATAGATAATGTCTGATTTCATACTCTGAACTAACCACTCAACCACCCTCAGGTTGATTCCCGCCCACTGCCTACACCCTCCCACAGCTGCCCTCCGAAGTGCCAGGTCCTCCAGCCTCCCCTGTAATTAAGTAATTTTTAAAATTATGCTTTCAGTATTTATCATAATAAAAACTTTTTTCTCTTCTTTTCTCCATACTAATGTTTATTAGTTAATTGGTTACATTTTTTAACTTATCTTAAGATGAGCACATAATGCTTAATAGCGATTTGCCATCTTCATGTGTGCATACAATTTATATTTCTCATAAACTAATAAATGTGCTTAAAAATCATAATATAAATTCGTAAGTGTTACATGTATCATAGTGGTGATTTCATGGTTAAAATACGTTTCAGAAACTTTTTTTATTTTGAACCAATTATGGTTTGGTAAAATGTATTTAGGCGTCAAGGTTATAATCATAAAACCAGAATCACTAATGCATATTATTCACTAGAAAGAACTGCAAAGAAGATCCTTTCAATATTTAGTTACTTCAATTGTGGCTTTGTCTCTTAGATAAAGTTAAAATCCGTCGAAGTTTAATTGCCTTATTGTTACAGGTATAGTAAATATATTCTAATTGGCTACAATATTTCTTGCTACAGAAATTAATGTTGATTCGTACTCTTAAAAGTGACACCCAAATCTTTCCCATTGGATGTAGAATAAAAAATTCAGTACAATACCTTAGTATATACTTATTCTATATAATTATTATATATATAAGACGACAGCCACTGGATAATTGTAAAGATCAAATAATATTCAATATAGGAATATATACAGACTTGACATTTAATATGGAATATTTTTTTCCAAATCATTTTTCATCAATTTTTTTCTATTTTGCTGACTGATAAATGAAAATAAAGATTAAAATCGTGTTTTAATAACTTTTAATTATCTCTTTGATATCATTGTGACATCAGTTCATTAATGGAATTCGCCAGAGAAGCAAACAAAAACACATTGCCTATTCTATGTCATACGACAACAATTAAAAGAGATATTTTGGATCTCTATATTTTCCAAATTATTTTCTGTAAAAGAGATACACGCCTCACAAAGAACCCCCATGTCAGTGTCTAGTCACAGTAACGGTCGCTGTTACGCTTGACCTCTTCTGTTTGCTACCAGCGCTCTCAGGTGGCAAGGCATTCCTTGGGTTAGGTTTTTAGAGTTCAATCTGGAATAACATTCCAGGCATCGGTCAAAATCTGTCCAATTTGGTCCAGTTTTGTTGTAGGACATGTTTTGTTGATTCGGCGAGTAATGGCCTACCCACATATTGTCTATGTGGTTCAAATATGGCGATTTTGATTACCAAGGTAGCTGCTCATTCCCTTGGTTTCGTAAGTAATCTGCTTTTAAAAGTGCTATGTGTGTACCGGGAATTCCACCGTGCAACCTAAAATTGTTCCTAAGGTGCCCCCTATCAAATGATAGTCAAGTGGTTCTCAGATTATTCCTTCATTTGATCTGGTTCAGGTTTTCGTGGATGACCATCATTGGTGTTTTGGCACCAATGTGGTATCCACTCCAATTTCTGACGCTGTTAATGACCTTAGTCACTTTAGACGCGGCACACGCTTAGTCGAGGGCCTCTTCTGGATGTCTGTAAACTCTGTTTTGACTGGTTGAACGGTACAGGTGAAAGCTGACCTCAATAAAGAAAGTCACAAAGTTTCAGTGTTCAACTCAGAAACGATTAGGGTCCCCAATTCATTAGAAAAACATACAACGATGCTTTGCTGATTACAGTGGGTTCCCCTGAGGTCGTCTGGTATTCTGACCAGCTAAAACCAGTTTGGTGTTCGCTAAGGGCCTTGAAAAATGCGTTTTGGTGGCAATTTACCCCTCATTCTGAACGGACTGGGTGGTTTTTGTTTAGTTGCAATAGCATATCCCGACAGACAGTGGGTCCTGTACCCTGGTGGTAAGATTTCAATACGTTGGCTGTGGCCTCTGTGTAGGTACATCAGTCTGGGCATTACTCTATAAAACTGTGCGGACCGTTTCGTTTGGCGCAATTTTCTGTCTGGCAATGTATGTCTTTTTCGCGCCATTCTGCCACAGATAAACAAATATGCAGAGCACTGCATAGCTCATTTTACACCTTGCAAAACCGACCACCTGCATGCAAAATTTCAAATTCTTCTATGCAGTAGTTGCCGACATATGGATACTTCTTTGACAGAACTATGCTTTGCCAAAGCCAAGCTTTGACCTGCCCAAAGGAGCACTACCCAATTAAATCATTGCATATT